CTTCCCAAGGCACTAGAATTATAGGCATGAGCCTCCACACCTGAGAAAAATCTTAAAACAACCAGAAAGAAAAATGCCTGTTTGCCTACAAAGATAAAAATTGAATTTGCAGCTCACTTCTAGCAACCGGAGATTGATTTTGGGGGTGGGGTGGGGGAGAAAGGATAGAAATCAAAAGATTATAGAAAGGACATTTTTTTTGGCAAGGTACTATGGCTCACACCTGTAAACCTAGCACTTTGGGAGGCCAAGGTGAGAGGATCATCTGAGATCAGGAGTTTGAGACCAGCTTGGCCAACATGATGAAACCCCATCTCGACTAAAAATACAAAAATTAGCCAGTTGTAGGGGCACCAAACTGTAATCTCAGCTACTCGGGAGGCTGAGACTGAAGAATCCTTGAAGAATCCTTGAGACAGAGGTGGCAGTGAGCTGAGATCACGCCACTGCACTCCAGTCTGGGGCAACAGAACAAGGCTCCTTCTCAAAAAACAAAAAAAATTAAAAAAAGAAAGGCCGGGCGCGGTGGCTCAAGCCTGTAATCCCAGCACTTTGGGAGGCCGAGGCAGGTGGATCACGAGGTCAAGAGATCGAGACCATCCTGGTCAACATGGTGAAACCCCGTCTCTACTAAAAATACAAAAAATCAGCTGGGCATGGTGGCGTGTGCCTTTAATCCCAGCTACTCAGGAGGCTGAGGTGGGAGAATTGCCTGAACCCAGGAGGCGGAGGTTGCGGTGAGCCGAGATCGTGCCATTGCACTCCAGCCTGGGTAACGAGAGTGAAACTCCGTCTCAAAAAAAAAAGAGAGAGAGCAGATTTATTTTTTTTTAATGACAGAAAAGAACTTTGTCACTTATTAGCAGCAAAAGATTATAGGGGAAATTATCTTCAAAAGGCTAAGAGAAAACAACTGTCGCCTAGAATTTGATGCCTACTAAATTTCCATCAAAAGGGCATGAAATAAAGACATTTTAAAACACTAACTGGGAATGCTAATCCCTCAAAGACTTACACTAAAATACCACAAAAGGGTATCTTTTATTTATTTATTTATTTATTTTTGAGACGGAGTTTTGCTCTTGTTACCGAGGCTGGAGGGCAATGGCGCGATCTCGGCTCACCGCAACGAGGGTATATTTTATAAGAGGGAAACTGAAATAAGAAGGAATGGTGAACAACAACAAAAAAAAAAAAAAAAAAAAAGAAGGAATGGTGAACAAAGAAATTTATAAATATGTTAGTAGATCTAAGCGAGGATTGAGACAGATCATGATGATAAAAACGGTGCTGGTGGTGATAGTGGTGCTGATGATGCTTACAGGGGTTAGAAAGAAGGGGAAACTAAAATACTACATAGAAATATGGGAGGTGGTGGGGAAAGGAGAACAGAGTTAACATGTTCTAAGCTCTTTCTATTATTCAGAAAAAAGTATGGTGATACTGATTCACTTCAGAAAGAAGGTTTAGAAATCTATAAAGAGGTAATCACTAACAGAGTAGAAATAGGATGTATAACTTCCAAATCGGGGGGCCAGGGGACAAATAAATAAAGCCACGGTTAGTGGTGTTTAAATTGGTCTAACTACATTATAGAGCAATTTGGCAACGGCTAATGAAGTTTAAGATCCACCTACTCTATGACCCAGAAATTCCACTTCTAGGTATCCATCCTAGGAGAATGTATGAAATTGTCAAGTGCAACATTGTTTTTAACATGGAAAACTGGGAATAGTTGCTTGCATTGCCAATTAGAAGAAGAACGGTTAAATAAATTGCAGTGTATTCAAGCAATGAAACAGTATTCAGTAGTTACAATTCATAAACTGGAGCTATATGAAACAATATGGATAAATGGGGGGAGAACAAAAGAGTTTGCAGAAGAATGAGTACAATGGGGGTGGGTGGGAAAAAAGAATGAGTACAATGTACCACTATTTAGATAAATTTCTAAAACACACAATTTGCAATTATGTATTGCTCGTAGATACATTCATAAAAGGTAAAACATACATACTGGTAAGTCTGGAAAACATAGAGGGGTTCCTCGAATCAAATGTGGCAAGATCTGAATGGTTGTTGGATTTCAGTTCTGTGCTCATGGTTATTTGTTAGGTTATTTTCTGTACTATACTTTTCTGCATGTTTCGAATACTCATTTTTTTTTCTTTTAAATGAAAGGATCTAGGCATTTAGAAATAAGGGTAAAGGGGGATAAATGGCTACATCAGTTCTCAAAGAGGATGATCTCCTGGGATGGGCTTAGGAAAGAGGTTGAGCCCTGAGTCCAGGGATTACAGGGATTAATTCAGATCATCTCCCTAGGCTGATCACCTGGCTGACATGCCCACCACTCCTGGCCCCTCAGAGATGCATTTCTGGACCACAGCCTACCTCCCTCATATCTCTTAAGCTCTTTTCTCCCGCCCTTAACTACCCGCCTCCACGTTCAACCCAGTACTGGTCTGGCCAGGGTTTGGCTCCTGAAAATAGACTGGCTCAGGTCCCCCTTGAATGTTCTCCCAAATCAAAGGTGAATGATGACCTGCATGCCAGGGAGCCAGGGAGAGATTAGTCCTAATACTCAGGATCAGAGCTCCCTGAGGAGAGCTTGAACCCTAGATGTCACCATCAACAACTTCCCTGCTGTGCCTCCCTCCATTCACCAAGAGGTCAGCAGTCAAGGCCAACTGCTAACCTGACCCTGCTGGCCGAGGCAGAACCAGGAGCTGCGCTGCACAGAAAGAACAGCGAGTGAGCTTCCAGAATCAGTCTGTCAGCTCCCAGAGCTCTGCATCCCACAAGGCCCCAGTGCAGCTCCCTTCTCCCATTCCTGAGTCCCCAAATCTGGACTCTGGTTCCCAAATCTGGACAGTAAAGCATCTACAGAAGGGGTCTGTGTGGGTGTGTTCAACTTTCCCCACAACTGAGTCACCTTGGCCACAGGATCTGAGGTACAATCCTGTCCTCTGGAAAGCAAAGGAAACATCCTTGATCTCTGCTCATCATCTTTCCGTTGAGATAATGAGAGAGACAGTGGAAGAAAAATGGAGCAAGGAGGGATGAGGTGGGGAGGGAGAGAGACTTACAGGCAACATGATCATTAACAGGCAACATTAACAACACAAATATGAAATCATGTTAAATGATAAGACAGGGCATTAACTGGGTAGCTGGGAGATAGACCTTTAACTCATTTATGCTGTGTCAGAAACTCGGTCCGATGCTGGAGATACAAAGATAACTAAGATCCGCCTAAACTTCAAGAAACTGAGCAGAGCCCGGACAACCCCAAGGGCCTGGTGCTGTCACAGAGAGACAGATAGGGGCCAGCACCACAGGGGCACCTAGCAGGGCAGGGATGGGGTGCCAGTCAGGGAAGGCCACCTGGAGGTGACCCTCAGCTGAGGGCTGAAGGAAAGGAGGGGAGTCCAGACAAAAAAGGGCTTCCTTCCCGTGGAACAGGGATGGCTTGTGGACTTGGAAGCCTGTGGGGTGTCAGAAGCGTCTGAACCACAGCAACTCCATCTTGAATAGGAGCTGGGTAAAATGAGTCTGAGACCTACTGGGCTGCATTCCCAGACGTTTAAGGAGTTCTAAGGCACAGGATGAGGCAGGAGGTCAGCACAAGACGCAGGTCATAAAGACCTTGCTAATACAACAGCTTGCAGTAAGGAAGCCAGCCAAAGCCCACTAGAACCAATATGGCGATGAGAGTGACCTCTGGTCGTCCTCACTGCCATACTCCTACGCGCGCCACGACAGTTTACAAATGTCATGGCAACATCAGAAAGTTACCCTACATTGTCTAAAAGGGGGAGTCATGGACAATCCACTCCTTGTTTAGCATATCATCAAGACATAGCCATAAAAATGGGCAACCCACCATTCTTTATTATTTTACTTTCCTAATAAACTTGCTTTCACTTTATTCTATGGACTCGCCCTGAATTCTCGATTGCTCGAGATCCAGGAACCCTCTCTCTCTGTCGGGATCCGGACCCCTTTCTGGCAGCTGGGGGAACGCAGACAATCCTAGCCCTCGACCTGGGAATGGATGTGCAAGAGAGGGGATCCGCGTGTGTCCCCGGCTTAGGAATCTCCCAGACGTTTCCTGGATGTTCTGGGAAGCCCCTGTTCCCAACTGTACCCACTTTGATCCTTGCTGAGACCTGCCGGGGTGTGAGAACTGCCTCTTAGAGAGCCGGCACCCACCCAGCAGGCATTCCTTGAATAAAGCAATGGTTAAGACGCGAAATAAGCCGCCTGGGCTTCCAAATCTCACTTCCAGAGAATGACCATCAGTCGTGCCCACTTCGAGTGGGCGACAGTGGGGGCGTGGCTCGCAGCCCACCAGGTGTGGGACCGGAAGGGAAGGCAGAACGGAGGAGGGGGGGGTCTTCGGGCCCTGAGGCTTGGTGGGGCCATCGGAGGGCCCCTCCTAAGAGGGTCTCTGGCCCTGGCTGGGGGGAGGAGGGTGCGCGGAAAGCGGAGAGGTCAGGGCCCTGCGTTAGCCCATCTCTCCGGCCCCCAAGCTGCCAAGGGGCCCCCGGGCGGGGCTGGGAGGGACCTGAGGCCGGAGTCCGCGCCGGCTGCCAGGTGGGGGCGCCGGCCGGGTGGGGGAGGAAGGGGCGCACGTGTCCGCGCGTTTGGAGGAAACAGTCCCACCTTGCCCTTTGCCGTCCCCATTGCTGAGCATGACCGGGCCCTGACACCTGGTGCGGAAGGTCCCCGCGTACAGCAGACCCCGCGGGACCCGCCGCCAGAACCAGGAGATCTCACCCCTCCCTCTTGGGACAGCCTGAAGCCTGAGAGCTCCCGACGCTGTCCCGGCCCGGCGGCCCCCGGCGCTCCCTCGGGGAGAGCCTTGGGAGGTATCTGGGGTCGCGCTCACCCTCCCGCGCCGCCCCAGCACCCACTCGGAGCTCCTGGGTGCTGGGAGGGCTTCCGGGCGGCGGCGGGCAGCGGGGGGCGGTGTCAGGAGGCCCGGCCAGGCCCCGCCCCCTCGCCCGCCCTCCCTCCTCCCTGCGCACCCGGCTCCCGGTCCCCGGGCTCGCGGCTGCGGCTTCTGCTCTGGGAAGCTGCCGCGGCGGCGGGAGCGGTCATGGAGGCGGGCGCCGGAACCAGCGCGGGAGCCGCGGGCTGGAGCTGCCAGGGCCCAGGTCAGAGCCGCCCGTCCCTCACCTCTCCACCGCCCCTCCTTTCTTTCCTCCATCCCTCCTCCCTCCAGACCCCCAGGTGCTCCCGGACTCCGCGGCTCCCTCTTCTCCGCCCGAAGCCTTCCTCCCTCCATCCTGGCCTCCACCTGGGCCCGGTCTCCATCTTTCCGGCCTGGGGCTGGGGCTTCTGCGCACCGGCCGCATCCTGCCTGTAGGTCCCTCCCCAGCTCATCTCTCCACTCAAGCCCGACGGTGCTTCCAGTACTCGGGGCTCCAGACCCCGCACCCCCTGCAGCCCCGGAGGCTCCAGAGCGCTGGGCGAGGGTGGGGTGGGCGAGGTCCAGTAAGAGAATACGAGGGGAGGGGAGGGGAGGGGAGCGGCCGCAGCCCTATCCCTTCACGCACGCCCCCCACTCCTCCCTCCCTCCCTCCCTCTCTCCCTCTCTCCCTCTCTTTGTAGGCCGCCTCACCCTTTCAGCCTCTTTTCACTGGCTCCCGCCCTCTTTCAGTCTTTCCTCTCTCCTCCCTGTCCCCCGGGGCTAAATACACACACCCCCTCTTTCTGTCTGTGCAAGCAAGGGGGGCCTGGAACCAGGAGTGTCTGAGGCGGTTGGGCGGCAGGGCTGGGGTCCCCGCAGGCAGAGCGTGAGACGTAGCCGAGAGAGGGGAGACGTAGAGCCGGCAGAGTGAGTCAGGCACCTCCACTGGGATTCCAGATCCCAGGGCTCCGAGGGGCTGGAAGCCATGCCTCCCTCTTTCCTCTGCACCCCAGCCCTCAGCACCTCCTTTCGCCCTGCTCTCAGGACCCACAGTGACCACTCTAGGCTCCTATGAGGCTTCGGAGGGCTGTGAGAGGAAGAAGGGCCAACGCTGGGGGTCCCTGGAACGACGGGGGATGCAAGCTATGGAGGGTGAGTTTTCCCAAAAGGCTTCTTTCTTCCCCTTCCCCTCCTCCGTTAATCCCCTTCCCTCTCTTCCCTTTGACCCTCAGGCCTCTGAGCCAGGACACAGCCCTACCTTCAGTTCGTCTTAGCCCCTCCTCCTGCAACTCAGAGCTCCAGCCCTTCCCAGGGTTCAGACTTCGACAGAAGTTCAGAGTGCACCCCTTTGGGACCCCAATCACTCAGCTAACCAGGTTGTGTGTCCCGAGGGAGCTGCCAGACAGAGAGAGGCCTTGTTGGACAGAGCTTTGAAGCAGCTTTTCAGCAGGGGGTTTGTTCTCACTGCCTGCCGACCCAGATCCCAAGCTGTCTCTTCTTTCAAAAAGCAAGGAAGTGGGCATGTGAATTGTCTTTCTGGGGCCACCACCATTAACTTCGAATGGAAGCCTGTGGCTTTGGTTCTCTCGGATACCTTACTGCCTGAAAGAGAAAGCCTAGGAGGGGGCGAGTGAGGCCATCCTCCCAATACACGTGTGTCCCCACCACACCCATGTGACTTGGCAGTTGCTGCCAACACCAGGCCCCTGGAAGGACGCTGGTCCATTTTCCAGGACTTCCTGTGAAGTGTGGCACGTTGCACATTCAGTATAGGGAAACCTGCTCCCCCTAAGGGGGGCAGATGGCACGAGGGGTCCCACATGAACCTAAGGCTGCTGATATTAGAGAAAGTAAGACCAGAGATTCAGAATTTTAAAACAAAGCAAACAATCACCATTCAGACAACATTTTGCTATTTATAGGAACTGCATTGCAGTAAAGGAGGGGGTGCTCGCAACCAGAGGCTGGGGGCCAGCACCAAACCCCAGTTCTTTAATGCATTAGAATGGCAGCGTTTCTTTTATGCACAGGTACAGGCTAAGACTTCCCCTGAAAACTGCTTTGTGGTCAGCAGAGCAGGAGGGGCCTCCTCAGCTAGGGGAGAGGAGACCTGTGACAGCCAACAGGGAAAAACGAGGTGGACCTTCTAGAAAATTTGAAACAGGTATTTGATGATTTCAAAGGGCTCCAGAGTTTGTCCGATGAAACCTCTACAATCAGATATTTCCTTTCCCTACCTGCCGATGGGCAATGCTTTCTTATCATGGAAAGGCTGATTTTTCACAAGCCACCTGGATATTTTTTGGTTGGGTTTTTTTTGTTTGTTTGTTTTTTGAGACACAGTCTCACTCTGTTGCCCAGGCTGGAGTGCAGTGGCTTGATCTTGCCTCACTGCAACCTCCACCTCCACTTTCCAGGTTCAAGCAATTCTCCTGCCTCAGCCTCCCAAGTAACTGGCATTACAGGCACCCACCACCACGCCCAGCTAATTTTTTTTAGTAGAGACGTTTCACCATGTTGGCTAGGCTGGTTTGGAACTTCTGACCTCAAGTGATCCACCTGCCTCAGCCTCCCAAAGTGCTAGGATTACAGGCATGAGCCACAGCGCCCAGCCAGTTTTTTTGTTTTGTTTTGTTTTCTAGAAATCTCCAAACTGCAACTGTTACCTCATTTGACCTAAAGATCCGCTCACTGTCTCCTTTCTTGATTACTTGTTCCACTGCTCAGAGGGTAGCCTAGAAGCAGATAATCCTGTGCAAGTGTCTCATGGCTGAGCAGGCACCAGCCTGCCCACAGGCAGTGGTAGGAGGCTATCAAGTGAACATTGGTCCAGGAAAGGCCTGGGAGGTGGAGGGGCTGCCTCTCAACTTGACCCTCACACCTGATGACTCATCTTGAATACAGGTCTTGACTAGGGGCTCCTTGGGGAACACAAGGTGGCACCATATACCATCTCTGCCCTGGAATAGTGAGTTAGAGGGCTCTGGAGGGACTGTGGAAAGGAAGTTGGTGCCGACTCCCTCCTGGGATGGTTGTTTCTTCTAGGGGAGGTGTTACTCCCAGCTCTCTATGAGGAGGAAGAGGAAGAGGAGGAAGAAGAGGTGGAAGAAGAAGAAGAACAAGTGCAGAAAGGTGGCAGTGTTGGCTCCCTGTCAGTCAACAAGCACCGGGGCCTGAGCCTCACAGAGACAGAGCTGGAGGAGCTGCGGGCTCAGGTGCTGCAGCTGGTGGCAGAGCTGGAGGAGACCCGGGAACTGGCAGGGCAGCATGAGGATGACTCCCTGGAGCTACAGGGTGAGTGCCCAGGCCCAGAGGCTCTATGCTCCCCTGGATCCGAGCCTGTCACTGGTGCCCCTCTCTCTACAGGGCTCCTGGAGGATGAACGGCTGGCCAGCGCCCAGCAGGCGGAGGTGTTCACCAAGCAGATCCAGCAGCTCCAAGGTAATTCCCAGGATTTGGACCAGAGAGAGATGGCCATGCAAGTGGTCACTTAAGTACTTTTTTCCCGTAAATTAAGTACTAATTTACCTCATTTTCCTCTACTAGGCTCACCCTTTTTCTCTCCTTGTCTCTCCATCCTCCTCTGTCCCCAGTTTTCTTTCTTTGTACCTCCACCTGGCTCCTCCGTCCTCCCCTTCCCTTTCTTGGCCTCCCCATCACCTTCTGTTTCTGGTGGGCTCTTTGCTCTTGTTCCTTCAGCCTCCTCCTTCACACTGTGTCCTTGTCCCTTTGTTCTCCTGGTCAGTGCCAGGGGTGGGTGATCCAAGTTGAATTCCAAGGCAGATTCCTTTTTCCGGTCCCTCCAAGGACAGCATGGGAAAGATCATGATGCTAGTGAAAAGTGGCTGGTGGGGCCTCTCTGCACCTGTTAAGGGAGGCAGATGAGAGCACTTCTCTTGCTCTCTGGGACCTGAGCTTATGGCCCCCAAGTCCCTTTTTTCCAACACCCACATCCCTTTGTCTCTGGGAAGCAGCAAGGCAAGTGTCCCACATTCCATTGCACCACCAAATAAAGAGGCAGCCTTTGTTACTTCTGTGAGCTTCCGGAAGGTTTAGGGGAGCTGGCCTAGAAAACTGTAGGGACTCTGGGGATAGCTGAGATCAAGCCAAAAGAAAAGTATAAATGGAGAAAAAAGGAAGGCCTGGAAATGGCCTGGGCAGGAGCAAGCAGAGGTGTAAGAGCGGGAGGAGATGAGAAGGGGACAGAAAATGTGAGCAAAGGTAGATCCAGGAAGGGCGGACAGTGAAGGAGCGTGCAGAGGAGGAAAGTGTCACACAGGGAAGATTGTGGGCATTGGTCTGGGATCACCTAGCTTCCTGGACCTGGCTCTACCACTCACAAATTGTGTGATCTTGGGCAAGTCACTTATCTTTCTGATATGTCATTTCTTGTCTGTAAAATGGGACTAATTTATTTATCACCTATTTATGGGGTGCCTTTATACTTGGAGGACCAGCTATGAATGAGACAGACCACATCCTTGCTCTACTGAAGAGTACCTTCTAATGGAGAGAGGCAGAAAATAAACAACACAAGTTCAGGTGGCAATAAATACTATGAACACATTATAGTAATATGATAGGAGATGGGATGGGAGTTAATTTTATTTTATTTCGAGACAGAGTCTCACTCTGTTGCCCCGGCTGGAGTGCAATGGCACAATCTTGGCTCACTGCAACCTCCGCCTTCTTGGTTCAAGCGATTCTCATGCCTTAGCCTCCCGAGTAGCTGAGATTACAGGCATGTGCTACCACACCGGGCTAATTATTGTATTTTTACTAAAGATGGGGTTGCACCATGTTGGCCAGGCTGATCTTGAAGGGAGTTTATTTTAGGTATGGCAGTTAGGAAAGTCATCTTTGAGAAGATGACATTTGAGCTAAGACCTGAATAATGAAAAAGATCCAGCCATCCAAGATCTGAGGGCGAAGCACACCAGGCAGAAGCAGCAGCAACTGCGAAGGTCCAGAGATGAGAATGAGCTTCATTTGTTTGAGGGGCAGAACAGAGGCCACTGTGGTTGCAGCAAAGTACATGTGGAGGACCCTGGTGAGAGAACGTTCTGAGGCAGGCAGAGGCCAGATAACAATGGATCTTGTAGGCCAGCCAAGAGGTTTGGCTTTCATCTTAAGTGTAGTGGAAAGCCAGGAGAGGGTCTTAGCCAGGACTGGGATAATAAGATCTGCTTTACATTTTTAAGAGAACTTGACCACTAAGTGGAAACACTTAGGATGGAGGGAAGGGACTCAGAACAGTGAGTGGTGTTAGCAAGTTGCTGTAATAATCCAGTCAAGAGATGATGGTTGCTTGAGTTAGGGATGTAGAAATGGAGATGATTCCAAATATATTTTGAAAGTGAAAGCCTCAGGATTTGCTAATGAATTGGATCAGGGGATGACAGAGACATGAAAGATGACTTTGCCTTGAGCAAATTGTTGGAAGGTGGTGATGTTTATTGAATTGGGAAAGACTTGGCAAGGGGTAAATTTGGGGACTAAGGGAGCCATTTAAGACATGTTTTCTCCCTGGTGAGTTTGAAGTGACTATGGACATCCAAGTGAATATATTGAGGCGGTTAGCTATATTAAGCCAGAACCACGGAGAAAACAGGGCCGGAGATTTAAATTTGGACTCATTAGCATATAATTGGCATTAGAATCCAGGGGAAGCATGGTGCAGTCACATGGAGAGACACCAGAAGAGTTGAAAGAGTCCAGTCCCAGAGGCGCTCCAGTATTTAGAGGTCCAGTATGGAAGGAGAAATGAACAAAAGAGTAAAGTAGGAGGAACTCCTGGAGCATGTCATGCCCTGGAAGCCAGGGCAGAAAGTGCTTCAAGGAGGCGACGATCCACTGTGGCAGGTTGCTAAGTCAAGCAAGATGCTCTTGGATTTGGCAAGATGGATGATCCTGAGACATTTCAGTGCATGGGTTTGGAGAGGACATGGAAGGTGAAATGGAAAAGGTGAGTACCGATAACTCCAGTAGTCATTTTGGAGAGAAGCCGAGAAGTAAGGGATATAGGGTCAAAAGGCTATTTCTTTTCTTTCAAAGATAGGAAATGCTAGATGGTGTATAATGAAAGAAAAGATCCAGTACAAAAAAAAAAAAAAAGGCCTTTGCCTGGAGAAGGGACGTTCCTCCATTCAAAGAGGGGAAAGTCAGAATTGAAGCAGAGATGCAGGCAGAAACTCCCCGGGAAAATGGGGTTCTAGAGCGCCTCCTTTCTGAGTAGGGTACTTTTCTAGGGTGAGCTGTCCCACGGTCCCTGCGGGAGAGACCAAGGCTGCCCTCCCGCACGCGAGTCGCCCGTTTCTGCCTGGAGGGGGCGCGCGCGGCCCCAGAGGCAGCCGCGGTTCGAAGGCGGTTCCGGCCGCCACAGCCCCTCTGGGGCCGGGACCGGCCGGTGGCGACGGGGTGACCCCCAGCGACACCGCTCGAGTGGGGCCGGCAAGATGGAAGCCATAACCAGTGAGTGAGAATCCACTTCTCGGCCCACAACACTGACTCCCGAGCCCTCGACCTCGCACCGACGGTCCCAGCCCCACACTCAACGGGCGCCACCGCCTCAGAATCTGGGGAACCCCGCCCGGCCTCTTCAACTCCTGGGCGCTCCCGGATAAGCCCTGCCCCCAGGCCTCGGGTCCTGCCCTGGGCGACTCTAGGTGACCCTGCACCCCTTCGGTTTCCCCTGAGAATGCTTTTTTTTTTTTTTTTAAGGAGTTTCGCTCTGTCGCCCAGGCTGGAGTGCAATGGCGCGATCTTGTCTCACTGCAACCTCCACGTCCCGGGTTCAAGCGATTCTCCTGCCTCAGCCTCCCAACTAGCTGGGATTACAGGCGCAGGCCACCACACCCAGCTGATTTTTGTATATTTAGTAGAGATGGGGTTTCCCCATGTTGGCCAAGCTGATCTTGAACTCTGGACCTCAAGTGATCCACCTGTCTCAGCCTCCCAAAGTGCTGGGATTAAAGGCATGAGCCACTGTGCTAGGCAGAGAATGCCATTTTTTTAGCGCCAGAAGCACCTAAGGGAGAGCTGAACCCTAACATCAAAAGCATATTAGGGAAGTGGAGGTTGGTCTGTTTCTCCAGAACTCCCACCCCAGACTCTAGGGCCTTTATCCTATTGGCCACTTTCTTCTTGGGTCTCCCTAACTAGACAGATCTCACTGTGCTGTTCAGTAGTGGGGGTAGAGCAGACTCTTTCAAATAGGAAGTCAGAGAATCTACCTGGAGATGCTTGGGCTTGGCATACAGTTAAGGATCAGTTAATAGTTGCTGAATAGATCAAGGAGACATAACACCCAGGATCATTCAAGAACAGGAAAGATTGGCAAAAGACATGCCCATAGCTGCACATGAGAGCTCGGAGGAGCAGGGTAGATCTTCCCCTGAGATGCCCTCACCACTCAGCATCTATCTATGAAGTGTGTCCAAATTTGTCTTCTTTGAAAGTCTAGATTCTCTTCTAATTAAAAAAAAAACCACACAACCAAACAGGGCCAGGTGTGGTGGCTCATGCCTGTAATCCCAGCACTTTGGGAAGCCAAGATGGGAGAATCACCTGAGCCCAGGAGTTTGAGACCAACCTGGGCAACAGGAAGAGACCCCTGTCTCTACATTTAAAAAGAAAGAAAGAAAGAAAATAGCGGGGCATAGTGGCCCATGCCTGTAGTCCCAGATATGTGGCATGCTGAGGTGGGAGGATTGCTTGAGCCTGCGAGGTCAAGGCTGCAGTGAGCCACGATCATGCCACCCCACTTGAGCCTGAGACACAGAACAAGACTGTATCTCAAAAACAAAAACCCCAAACCCCGAATGTTTAGTTCTGTACACATAGGAGGGACTTAGTTTGTTGAATGGATGAACCACCTGCCTTATTTAAGCATGAATACATCAAATATCTATTGAGCTTCATTTTCAGGTACAATACTAGATCCTAGAGCTGTAACAGTGAGCACACCAGATATGCTCTTTGCCTTCATAAAGCTCATAACCAAGTGAAGGGGAGACTAAGTATGCACACACACATAGCAAAGTACAAGGTTCTATGAGACCATTTAATAGCAGACTTCTCTTAATTTTTTTGAGGAAATGGAGGTACAGGCTAGAAAAATCGACATCTGTGTGGTGAGTAGAGCGAGCAGGAGTTGGAAGCGGATGGGAGAATGTGCCTTGCAAAGGATTTATGGGAAGGTCCTGACCTTCCCAACCCAATCCTCATTAATTCTCTAATTCTGGCCCCCAAATCCTAAATTCGCTGTTGGTATCAGTGCCTTTTACTTTTCACTTTTTGGTTCTGATCCTAGATGGGAACACATGTGTCTAGAAACTCTGAGATGCTCCATAGATACAGAGAACTCTTGACCCATTATTTTGTAAATGAAAAATTAGAAAATACAGGCTTGTTCTGAAAATCTAAACAGCACAGATAGATATGATATGCAAAGTAAAAACCTCATCGCATATTATCCCATACCTCAGAAATAGCTACTCATTATGGTTTGGGCATAGATCTTTCCAGGCCTTTTTCTATATGTTTTTCCATTTGTGTGTTATATACTATACATAAAATATTTTTTGCAAAAATCAGATCATATATTTTATAGCTCTTTTTCTTTAGTTAATATGGAAACGTCTTTGTTTTCACCATAAGTTTAATGGCTGCACAATATTCTATTTATTTATCATCCGTTTGTTCATGTCTTTATTTATTTATTTATTTATTTGAGAATGCGTTGCCCAAGCTGGAGTACAGTGGCATGATCTTGGCTCACAGCAACCTCTGCCTCCTGGGTTCAAACAATTCTCCTATCTCAGCCTCCCAAGTAGCTGGGGTTACAGCAGCACGCCACCATGCCTGGCTAATTTTTTTTTTCTTTTCTTTTTTTTTTTTGTATTTTTAGTAGGGACTGGGTTTCAGCATGTTGGCCAGGCTGGTCTTGAACTCCTGACCTCAAGTGATCCACCCACCTTGGCCTCCCAAAATGCTGGGATTATAGACATGAGCCACCACACCTAGCCTAACTGTCATCAGTTTAAACAGTCTGTTGTTGACTGACACTTAGATTATTCTTGTGTTTGGTTATTATGCAGTTAACTTATATATGAATTTCAGTTGTGAACTCTTAAGTGCACATTGTTTTGGGTCAAGTACTTACCACAGGTAGGTCATGGGAACTCTGAGGCTCTGTAATTTCTGAGCTCTCAGGCTGAATAGGTGAAAATAGTGTGTAGACATTTTTTTGTTTTTTGAGACAGTCTCTCCCTCTGTCACCCAGGCTGGAGTGCAATGCCATGATCCCGGCTCACTGCAACCTCCACCTCCCAGGTTTAAGCGGTTTTCCCTGCCTCAGCCTCCTGAGTAGCTGGGATTATAGGTGCCCACCACCATGCCTGGCTAATTTTTGCATTTTTAGGTTTTGCCATGTTGGCCAAGCTGGTGACAAACTCCTGACTTCAGGTGATCCTCCTGTCTTGGCCTCCCAATGTGCTGGGATTACAGGCATGAGTCACCACACCTGACTTGTGTACATTTTTTGAGTTGGGGAATTTTTAGAAAGACTCGGGGCATCAAGAAAATACTATAAATGAAGTTAGGTCTTTTTTTTTTTTTTTTTTTTTGAGACGGAGTTTCACTCTTGTTACCCAGGCTGGAGTGCAATGGCGCAATCTCGGCTCACCACAACCTCTGCCTCCTGGGTTCAGGCAATTCTCCTGCCTCAGCCTCCTGAGTAGCTGGGATTATAGGCACGCGCCACCATGCCCAGATAATTTTTTGTATTTTTAGTAGAGGTGGGGTTTCACCGTGTTGACCAGGATGGTCCCGATCTCTTGACCTCATGATCCACCCGCCTCGGCCTCCCAAAGTGCTGGGATTACAGGCTTGAGCCACCGCGCCCCGCCTAATGAAGTTAGGTCTTTAACTGTCAGGTGATTCCTTAGAAGCACGTAATACTTTTTGTTTATAGTAGACTAAGTGATTGCTTTTGGTGCCAGGCCTCAAAATCTACTTTTCTATTGGACCTTAATTACTACGTAGAATCATTCTCTTTTCCCTTCTTAGGTACTCCTTTTATTCCATCCGTGCTATACTTCTCTGATGGGGAGGTTTTCAGGACTTTGCAGACAAGAAATAAGTCTCCCTTTAATTTCATACCTCTAGAATATGGTATATATTAGTTCACCTGCCCTCTTCACCATCTCAACCTTTGGGCTTTGCAGGTGAGCTGCGTTCTCTGCGGGAGGAGATTTCCCTGTTAGAGCATGAGAAAGAAAGTGAACTTAAGGAAATAGAACAGGAACTACATTTGGCCCAGGCTGAGATCCAGAATTTGCGGCAAGCAGCGGAGGATTCTGCAACTGAACATGAGAGTGACATAGCATCCCTTCAGGAGGATCTCTGCCGGCTGCAGAATGAACTTGAAGACATGGAACGCATTCGGGGAGATTACGAGATGGAGATTGCCTCCCTCCGTGCAGAGATGGAAATGAAGAGCTCTGAAACATCCAATAGTTTAAGTCTCTCAGATTTCTCTGGGTTGCAAGGTATGAGAGCAGTCAAGTCTTTCAGTAAAGTCAAGCAGAGGAAAGGAGAAAATATGTAGGAAAATGGTAGAAAGTGGTGTTAGATCATAAATTGGGAACCTCTAGAAAAAACCTCCAGGTTTGGGGGTGATGGATCACAAGGTCAGGAGATTGAGACCATCCTGGCTAACATGGTAAAACCCCATCTCTACTAAAAATACAAAAAATTAGCTGGGCATAGTGGCATGCATCTGTAGTCCCAGCTACTTGGGAGGCTGAAGCAGGAGAATTGCTTGAACCCGGGAGGCAGATGTTGCAGTGAGCCAAGATCATGCCACTGAACTCCAGCCTGGCAACAGAGCGAGACTCTGTCTCACAAACAAACAAACAAAACAATAAGAACCTCCAGGTTGAATTGAAGACTGTAAAAGGGCCAGGCATGGTGGCTCATGCCTGTAATCCTAGAACTTTAGGAGGCCAAGATGGGAGGATCACTGGAGCCCAGGCATTCATAACAAGCCTGGGCAACCAAGTGAGACCCTATCTCTTCCTAAAAGAAAATTTTAAATAAAGGGGGGAAAACCTACCCAGATGTTACATAACTGGTCCATGGTGGTGTAAGAAATAGCACCATGGAGAAGTACCCTGGGAATTCTTCAGAGTCATTGGGTCTTTGTTGATTTGACTATGGGAAACCCCTTCCTGGGAAAATTTCCAGCTCTAGGATGGGCAAAGAGGGACCTGTCACCTTGGGAAACTCTTCCTGCTGCCCTGGCATCATGGCGCTTTGCCTGGACTGCTTTGTGGGGGGCCTCTGGCCCTGCTTCCAGGTGCAGGGATGCTAATTCTTAGACTCCTTTAGCTCACCCCAAAATAGAAGCTTTAGGGGGACAACAAATCAGAGGACAAGACAGCCAGAGAAGAAAAGTTATTGCTAGTGATACATGAGATACCTAAAAGCCTAGAGCCCTGCTTTCAGACAGTGAGTCTCCCAGCTAGTTGCTAGGATTCATGACATCAGAGAGTTTGCCTTTATTCTGAGGCTAGATTTATGATCTGAGTATAATGGAGGTCCTATATTTGGCCAGGTCAAGCAGAGGCAATCAACAAGGAATCAAAGAACTGCAAGTTTTTCCAGCTGGACCAAACCTCTCAGAAGAGCCTTTAGACTAAATGGTGCTGGGAGAGGAAGGCTGGCACAGTGGGAAGGCTTGGGCTGGAGTCAAACAGACTTGAGTTCAGAATCTCAGTTCCACTAATTAGCAGGATGAACATGGGTAGTCTGGTTATGGTCTTTCTCTGAGCTTGTTTCTATATCTGGGATATGAAATCGAAATTGGTTAATAAAACCTTTTTTTCTTTTTCCTTTTTGTGGAGAATGGGGTCTTGCTATATTGCCCAGGCAGGTCTCAAACTCCTGGGCTCAAGCTGTCCTCCTGCCTCTGCCTCCCTAAGAGCTGGGATTACAGGCGTGAGCCACTGCACCCGGTCAATAAAACCTTATAGCTAGAGGGGATCCTGAAACAGGAAAAGGACCTTAGGGAAAATGTAAAGAAATCTTAGTCAAATATGGAGTTTAGTTCATAGTAATGCATCAATATTTGATTCCTTCGGCATGACAGGTATACCATGGTAATGTAAGATGTTAACAATTCCGGAAACTGGGTGAGAACTCTCCCAGGAAACTCTGTACTATCTTTGCAGATTTTTTGTAAATCTAAAACTATTCTAAAATTTAAAGTTTATTTAAAAAAAAAAACTTACAGAGCTATTGTGGGAATTAAATGAATGTGAAGCATGTTGAAATCACTTGCACACTTATTGAATACGAGGCTGAAACTATCAAGTCTAATGCGTTAGTTTTCATTAAAGATTAGTTTCCTTCCTTCCCTCTATGGTAATCTGTAGTATTCTAAGGAATTCTGATTAGAATTAACAGGAAACATTAGAAGTCACTTTTAGGCTGTTGAATCTTCCAGCAGGTAAGATAGGTCGTGGGTTCTACTTAGAACAAGTTAGTGCTCTTTAAATATCAGTAGAATTAGTGTTCTAAGAGACATAATTCTTTTTTAATTATTTGCAAATGGACACCGAGTCTCGCTCTGTTTCCCAGGCTGGTCTTGAACTCCTGGGCTCTAATGATCTTCCTACCTTGGACTTCCAAAATGTTGGGATCACAGGTGTAAGCCACTGCACCCAGCCAACATAATTCTTCATCATGAAGAAACAAAACAGATACAGGTGTTTGTATCATTACAGCCTTAAAAAGTATTGGTGGGTGGGCATGGTGGCTCCTGCCTGTACTCCCGGCACTTTGGGAGGCCAAGGCAGGCAGATTACTTGAGCCCAGGAATTTGAGACCAGTCTGGGCAATATGGCAAAACCCCATCTCTACAGAAAAATTCAAAAAATACCCAGGCTTGGCGGTGTGTGTTATAGTCGTAGGTACTCAGGAGGCTGAGGTAGGAGGATCACCTGAGTCCAGGCAAGTCAAGGCTGCAGTGAGCCATGACTGTGCCACTGCACTCCAGCCTGGATGACAGAGTGAGACTATCTCAAAACAAAACAAAACCAAAAAACAAAAAGTATAGGTATAGGTGACTGGTGCTTAGAGACGTGTGCTGGGGTATGTCAACTAGATCTCTTCTAATGCTTGAGGATGAGGATGGGCTTTTCTGTCAGCAGATAAAATGCCATTTAGAAAGAATTCTTTTTTTTATTTTTAATTTTTTTGAGACAGAATCTCACTCTGTCTCCCAGGCTGGAGTGCAGTGGTGCAATCTTGGCTCGCTATAACGTCCACCTCCCGGGTTCAAGTGATTCTTCTACCTCAGCCTCCCGAGTAGCTGGGACTACAGGCGCCCACCACCATGCCTGGCTAATTTTTGTAGTTAGTAGAGATGGGGTTTTGCCATGTTGGCCAGGCTGGTCTCAAACTCCTGACTTCAAGTGATGTGCCCACCTCAGCCTCCCAAAGTGCTGGGATTACAGGTGTGAGCCACTACGACTGGCAAGAATTCTTTACCACATCCTGACCAGTGTATTTGGTGTGGGAATAAAGGACATAAAATAAACTCAGAATGCCTGAAAGACAGGTACTGGCAGTCACATGTGGCAGTTCACATCTCTCAGCTTTTTGTACTAAAAGCATAATGGGAAGATAATCATAAACAGTTGAATGGAAACTTTACATACAGTAAACCCAAAACTTAATTAAACCTTCAAAAATTCCTGAAAGCTCAAGAGTCTGCTTTGATTGAGGCTTTGAAGGTGAGCACACAGGGCAAATCATCAGGGCAGATGAAAAGAAGGACAGCTATCGGGAAGAGGAGAAAGACCCACTGCACTGTGGAATTTCCTGGGCCCTGTCTTCTAAGCCTCTGTATCTCTTTTCTGTCTTCAGTAAAAGAGAAACTCTTTAGCCTTCTGCTCTCAGGTTTCAAGACAGGATAACTGGGGGCTGGTCATCAGTACTCTCCTCCTGAGGGTCTCATCTTTCTCGGCTTGTCCTCTGCAGAAGAACTTGAGCAGCTGCGGGAACGCTACCATTTCCTGAATGAGGAGTACCGGGCCCTGCAGCAGAGCAACAGTAGCCTCACGGGGCAGCTTGCGGATCTGGAGAGCGAGAGGTACAACTGTCACCGGAGAGTGAGAGGTTACGGGGTTCTGCAGGACTCTGCAGGACTCTGCCTTGCCTTAGGCTTTCCCCTGAAGGCAGGTGCCAGGGCAGCGAGCATTCTTCTGCTCCTGGAGAGCCAGTCCTTTCCATGGTTTCCAGAGGACACACATACCACGTACACGCAGACATAGGGATCTGACCCAATTGTCTCACGACTAGAGGGAGTGAGTTCTGAAGTTCAGTTCTGTTAGAGGCTTTGGGATCTGGTTTGCTCTGCCCTAAAGTAGATCAGACGAGATTATTTTATTGTCTGCATAAAGTTGCTTCAGTCTAATGGCAGGCACAATGCTTCCAGATTGGAGTGGGCTTGACGAGGCCCAGCCTCAAAACTAAATGGCCTGGCACTCTTAGGGTCTCCCAGAGCCAAACACACCTTTGCAGATTGAGGTGCTGGAGACTTTTTCTGCTCATGCGAGCAGTGAATCACAATAGAATTCCCCTTACTGTCTTTGGCCTAAAATGAAGGCATCAGGACCAGGCACACGTGGCTGGTGATGCCAAGCAAAATTCCCTCCAGCATCGCTCTGGGGTTCTGGATTGCAGGACACAAAGAGCAACGGAGAGATGGCTGGAGTCACAACCACTAAGGAGTATGACGTCAGTAGAGTCCCAGACTTCAGAAATGGATTTCCTAGAGCCTGATCCTGAGATGCAGTTGTTACGGCAGCAGCTATGGGATGCTGAAGAGCAGATGCATGACATGAAGGAGAAGGTAGGGTACCGAGGGTGGGAAAGGCCAGCCTTTCATTGTCTTTCTTTCACCTTCTCCCAGCCTGTGGTAGAAACATCTCCATAGGCATGCACTGTGGCGGGAGATAGTATTCTGGGGTCTTGCTTGCCTGATGCTTGCTTTGCCTCTTCCAGTCAAAGAATGCCATGCTTTCCACAATGAACATGTGCTGAACTTGGAGCACATGTGGTACCTGTAGTAAACAAGTCTCCCTGTTCCATTTGCCGCATAGTGTCAGGAGTTGTGTTGTGAGTTGCAAGAGCTACAGCATCATCGCCAGGTCAGTGAGGAGGAGCAGAGGAGGCTGCAGAGGGAGCTCAAGTGTGCTCAGAATGAGGTGCTTCGGTTCCAGACCTCCCACAGTGTCACCCAGGTAAACACTGCCCGGGGAGTCATCTGAGATGGGGGCAGAAGAGCCTCAGGGAGGGGCTGCTTCAATGGGGGTGGGCACAGTGAGTATGGCTGTGCTTTGCTGACTCCTGCCCTGCAACTGGGCACAGTCTGTGGGAAACCAACTGTAGCAGTCACGTAGCACTGCATTCTAGAAATGGTGGCCATTACTGAGTGTCCGTCTCACAGAAGAAACCGAACTTTAGACCTGTGGGAGCTCCTCAAGGTGTCTGCATCTGAAAAGGAACCCAACTGATCCATAGAAAGATCTGCTGTTTCTTGAGAGTAACTGTTCTACTCACATCCTCCCTACCACAGAACGAGGAGCTGAAGTCCAGACTCTGTACCCTGCAGAAAAAATATGATACTAGCCAGGATGAGCAGAATGAGCTCTTGAAAGCACAGCTACAACTTCAGGCTGAGCTCCGGCAGCTCAAAGTCATGAAATCCACACTTGTAGAAAACCAGAGTGAGAAGGTAACAGCAGCCAGAGGTGAGGGGACAACTTGGGTGCTAAGAGCATCCTTCTGAGGTTTTGGGGAAGGTGGATAAGAGCAGTGAGTTAAAAATAATTCCAGCAACCACATAGGCAGCACCACAGGTAAAGAACTTCAGCCCTGCTTGAGTACTACATTAGAGGTGAGGACATTAGGAAGTGAAGGGCAGGGCAGGGAGAAGCAAATCTTAGATTGTCAGTGTCTTCAAGTGATACAGACAGAAAAGCCAGTGGGTTAAGGAGCCCAGAGGCACTGTCCAAAGCCCCTTCTACCGTAGGAGTTACTGTGCCGGCTGCAGAAGCTGCAGCTCCAGCACCAGAATGTCACATTTGAGAAGGAAAAGCTGCTGGAACGGCAGCAGCAGCTGCAGGAGGAGCTGCAGTGCCATGAGGCAGAGCTGCAGCACCTCAGGGATATGGCGGCCTCCTTCAAAGACAGCAAGGAGAAGGTAAAAGCAGCTCTGGGTGAGGGAGGATGTAGCCAGGTGGCATCTTGTGTGAGGGTGAGAGCGCAGAGGAGGAGAGGGAATGGTAGAAGTGTGGAGGAGTTGGCCATGAGTGGGCCAAAGAGGTACTTGGGGAAAAGGTGGCCTCAGGGAGTCACGAGGCTCTCAGCTTCCTTTGATTTTAAATCAGAAAATCAGCATATAAAAAGGAAGTCCCTTTCCCTCCCCACCTCCCAAAAAAAGAAGCCCCAGAAGGCCTGTGTTTCTTTTTAAATTATTTGTATGTGTATTTATTTAACTTGAGAGGCTACACTGGGAAGATCTGTATTTCAAGCCTGTTTGGGACGGTTCCATCTTGGGTATCTATCCTTGGCTGGGATGAAATTGGGGCTGAGTAGGATAAGGGAAGATGGGTCCCCTTAGTCCCTGACTGGGAGGAGAAAGCCCAGCAGCAGGAGCGCCTGGGGTGATGGTCAGGCCTGCCTCCCCTGCCCAGAACACAAAGACCCACGCCCAGTTTCAGGAGATGAAGCAGCTGTACCAGGCCAGCAAGGACGAGCTGGAGCGGCAGAAGCACATGTATGACCAGCTGGAGCAGGACCTCCTGCTCTGCCGGCTGGAGCTGAAAGAGCTCAAGGCCTCCCAGCCCATTCCAGAGGACAAAGGAAAGTGTACTAATAAGGTAATTGTCATTCAGAGAGGTGACAGCTCCTGGGCACTTGCTCCAGACAGCCGAGGTACAGAGGCAAAAGGTGGGGGCACCCAACCGAAGGGCTTGATGGGCTTCCTAGGCAGGAAGCAGAGGCAGGGCCACATGCTGCTGACTTCAAAACAGTTTGCCCTGACCTTGACTTTGAGCCAGAGCTACAGCTTAGTAGGATCAGTATATTTGGATCCCAGTCTGAACATCTGAAGGTTTTACACAGATATGATATTTCTACATCTGTGGTATTAGCACTGTAGTGATAGCTAGTCATTCGTGGAGAAGAACATATACATGGGCCCATATACACAACCAGAGAGAGGAGCTAGTTTTCTGGGGCAGATTGCAAATGCTTTTAAAAGGGGGTATGGTCTTGTGCCCAGAGTGCTGATTGGGCAAAAGAAGGACATAGGCTCTTCTAGGATTTATTCTGTCACTTCAAAGTAGTTAAATTCTTTTTTCTTTTTCTTTTTTTTTTTTTTGAGATGGAGTTCCACCCTGTCACCCAGGCTGAAGTGCAGTGTCACGATCTCAGCTCACTGCAACCTCTGCCTTTCTGGGTTCAAGCAATTCTCCTTTCTCAGCCTCCTGAGTAGCTGGGACTACAGGCACATGCCACCATGCCTGGCTAATTTTTGAATTTTTAGTTGAGACAGGGTTTTGCCATGTTGGTCAGGCTGGTCTCAAACTCCCGACCTCAGGCCTCCGACTCCCAAGGTGCTGGGATTACAGGCATGAGCTACCGAGCCTTGCCAGTAATTAAATTCCTGAAGGTTGAATTGTGCCCTCTTTACATGGAAGAGAATACTACTCTCATCTCACTTCCTTTTAGTAATAAATTCTGGTAGTGATAAAAAAAAGGCCTTATTTATTTTTTCTTTTCTGTAGTGTATAAAGTGCAAGCCATTATCATTTATCCTGTTGAGCACTTTCAGTTCCTGATTACTGATGGGAAGCCTGTTGGAGAAGAGACCCAAAAGTCTCTAAAGATGGTGGAGCTGGTCACATTCTGCCAGAAAACTCAGTAGTTCCTGTCCCTGGGGAGAGGCCTTCAAGCGACAGAGGATTGGGAAAGTTATTTGGGCCACCTCAACAGTCTCTTTGCCTTGTTATATCCAGGCTCATGTTTCTTCCTTTCTCCACTTCTACTCAATTTAGGAGCCCAGGGGATCTGTGACTTGCTCATCACCTCTTCCCCTAATGGAAAAAACAATGGGAAAGGAGATGCATGCTGGCAGACAGCACCTGCTTTTTCTCTAGCCATAAAACAGCATTGAGATCTGTCTGATATTGGAAGATTTGGGTTTTTGGAAATAGGATGATTTTGGATGATTTAGTCTTCTCAACCCAAATTGAGCAATAGCTCATACTTTTCTAAAGATTTAAGGAGAGAATCAGGAAAGCAAAAATTGGAAAAATTAGGGTAAAATTAAGTCCTTATTAGTAAGGATTGTAATTATATTAAAAAAACCACTGGGGTTAATAGAATAACAGGAGCTAGAGTTCCCGACAGGAGGGAAGTATGATATACACACCACAGGAAAGGGCCGGAGAAGAGGAAGGGGGAAATGAGGAGGAAGGGTTATCGATAGCAGGCCCTATCAAACTGCCCCCAGAAAGGAATGGTAGAAGTTTAGAGCATGGCCAGCTACCAGTCTAAAACAGCCTGCTCTGAAAGAGTAGCCTGCTGGGGCTCCCCAGTTGGCATCTAAACAGCCAGGGTGTGATGTGGCTTGGGGTGACCCATCCAAGGTGACTGCACAGGGAGAGAATCGCAAGAGGCAGGAGAGCACAGAAGTGCTAGCCCCCCAGGAAGCTTACCTTACAGAGTAACCAGCTGCTCCACACCCGCCCCTGCCCACAGTGTGACACACTGCTGTCCAGACTGACAGAATTGCAGGAAAAGTACAAGGCCAGCCAGAAGGAGATCGGGCAGCTACAGATGGAGCAGTGTGAGCTCCTGGAGGATCAGAGGAGGTTGCAGGAGGAGCAGGGCCAGCTGCAGGAAGAGCTGCACAGGCTCACACTGCCACTGCCCAAGAGTGGCCTCTTACTCAAGGTAACTCCACTAGAGGCAGCTGCTTACTGTGGGGAAGCTGCTCTGAGAAGCTTCCCTGTGTGACCAGGGAAACATAAAAGGATGGGGATTGAACTTTTTCTTCTCTTTACCAACCACTCCTTACTTTCTCACCACTCTCCCCAAACCAAAAAGCTCGACAGAGCCAATTAGAGTTTTCTTATAAGACCTTCAAATCTTAAAATACCTTTTTACACTCTGGAATCTGTGCAGCAGTTTATATTTAGCTATTTAGTCCGTCTGGAGAAAATGCACCTGAAAGCACTTTGTAAACTACAAAATATATTCCAACGTAAGAGATCATTACTACTTTTATCAGGCCTCCATAGAAAGGCCCCCTGTCCCCCGATGGGCTCTGTGAAGCCAATCCAGAGATTCTTCAGGGAAATGTTCACGACGGGAATGAGGCACCAGGGAGGCATCAGACTTCCTTGTGGTAACCACCACAATCCCTTGCCTCCTTCCTTCTACTTCGCCTCAGAGTCAGGAGCTACTCACCAAGTTAGAAGACCTGTGGGAACTGCAGCTGCTCTACCAAGGCATGCAGGAGGAACAGAAGAAGCTGATACAGAACCAAGACTTCGTATTGAAAGAACAATTAGAGCTATATGAAGAGCTGCAACATTTCAAAGAATCTCATTTCCAGGAAGTGTTGGAGAATCCAGATGATTCCAAATTGGCTAAGTCCTCAAAATGTGATCGAAACAAGGTAACCATAGTAAGAGCTAGGGAGACAGTTCTCCTGAGCACAACAGCATGGCAGGGAGAGTGGGCACAGCCAAAGGGTCAGAGTTGGGAAGGCCTATTTGACCATGGGTAAGGATAAGGGTAAAGTTCTACCCTTCACCAGCTGTGACCACTCATAGGCTCCATTAAGAGGTGGCTTTTAGATACGGCCAAAGGACCTCACCTAGATGCCATTATCTTTTGTCACATTTATATTCACAGTGCTTAGCTGAAGCACTGTGAGCACTCAGGGCAGAGCTGGGATGACCCAAAGTCTGTAATCTGATCATTTGACTCATTCCCAGTAAGATGTATAGTATCAGTTTGGTGTTTGTTTGGATTCCTTTGGACTGACTCTAAACATGTCATCTTTTTTTTTTGAGTAGAAAAGTACACTTCTCAGTTATCGAAATCTATCACCTTTGGTGTTCTATATGAGGCAAATTTGGTTCCTTTCATTTACAAAAGAAGAATTCCTAGCATATGAGGTTCTTAGTACTGACCACAGTATCTTTATTGGAACTTTGGTGGCAATAACAGAGCAAGATCACAGGGGTTAGACCAGAAAATCAATGCCTCTCAAGTACCAGCAAGGGGTCATGCAGATGAGGTGACACAGGTGGAGATCACCATACAATTCTATTCAGGGGTGGGGGATAAAGTTGTTCTGAGGTCTCAGCGTGGGCAAGGAAGGGCAGGTAGACAGTTTCGATTTAGGCTGAATCTACTCATTCAGATCTTAGCCGAACGAGGAGAACAGGGAGTAGCAAAAGTCAACGTGAGGCTGGATCATATTCCAGGGGCATCAGATGTCCAGGCTGGAGGCCTGGGTAACACAGAGCTGGGAACCAGGTATAAAATATTTCCTTAGCTGATCAGATCTCATCCTGGACATCAGCAGCCAAGAAGCCAGGCCTAGAGGGCCTGGGAAACATGCCCAGAGGCCAGATTCAGAATTGGGGCAGGAGATACAGGAACTAATAGTAAGATCTTGCTTACAGTTCTTCATATTGCTGCATTCAAGGCTGGGGCTGATTTTAGAACTAGGGGTGGGGGAGGGGACTGAGCCTGAAGGCCAGGACAACGGGTATACCTGACTGAGAAGAGGATGTGGTAGGGAGCCAGGGTGTTCTGGAAACCCACTGCTCCAAGGAGACAGGGATATAACAGAGTGCAGAAACCAGCCAAAATGGGAGCCCAGAAATCATGGAGTATCTGCCTTGGGGAGATTTTCCCAAATGAGTAAGAAACTGACACATGCCAGTTACCTGTAGGCTAAGTGAAAGACATAGGCTGGTGTGAGGCTGAAATGTAGGTGTGCCATTCACTAAGATGTGCTCTCAGACACCTGCACCAGGAAAGGTGCAGCTGAAAGGACTGAAATGTCAGAGTAATGATAATGTCTCCCCACCCCTGCCCCCAGCAATCCAAATTGCTTATGGAGCAGATGCAGACCCTGCAGGTGCTGTATGAAGCCAGTCAGGCGGAGCAGGAGCTCTTGCAGCAAGAGCAACGGAGGCTCCTAGAGGAGCGGAAGAGGCTGCAGACGGACTTGCAGCTCTGCCTCGAAGAAATGCAACTGCTTCAAGTCCAGTCCCCTTCTATAAAAATGAGCCTTGAGTCCTACAGAAAGAGCTATGGTAGCAGCATGCCCCCCAGCAATGAGAACTGTCACGATAGCCATAGCACAATTGATGACAATGAGAGCTATTGCAAGAGTTATACCAGCACCCAGACCAGAGACGAGAGCCTCCTCAAGAGCTATGACAGCAGCACCAGTGCCAGTGAGACCTATGAAAAGAGTTATTGCACCACCAGCAACAGCAGCATTACCTATGAGAAGAGTTACGGCAGCACCAGTAGCTTTGACACCTTTCACAAGAGTTCTGTCAGCAGCTGCACTGACGATGAACCTGCTGAGCCTGAAGACACAGAGGTAACAGTCGCCAGGTGACAGGTCAGGCAGAGGACGATGGACTCTTGTCTTTTTAAGAGATACATTGCCGGGGGAAGAGACAAGAAGTGTGGGAATGGGGTCAGAGCTGATGTGGGGAACTACCGGAAGTAAGCAAAGCCCTCTACCCATGGCAGCCTGGCCTCCCCCTCAGCCCTCTCATAGAGAGATGCCCCCATCTGAACAGAGGCCCATTTATCCCCATAAAGAGCACCACCACAGTCATGGTGCTCTTTATGGGGATAAATACAGTATTCCTCCCGGGCAGCTCCAGATCCTGATGGCCATTGTTTGTTATCCAGAGAAGGGTCCAGCAGAGTTGGGTGGAGCTTAGGTGCTCCTGGGGTGCTATTGTTGCTCACCCCCCCGCCCCCCCACAGCACTTTGAGGAAATGGTTGCGAAGGTGCTGATCAAGCTGCAGGCAGTGCAGGCCATGTACCAGATAAGCCAGGAGGAGCACAGCCAGCTGCAAGAGCAGATGGAAAAGTTACTGGCCAAGCAGAAAGACCTGAAGGAAGAGATGGATGCCTGTGAAAAGGAGTTTAAGGAGTGCATGGAAGGCCTTGAAAAGCCTGTGGCCCCCCAGAACGACCAGAATGAGGTAACTGCTGTCAGGGAGGCAGGGTTTCCTCTGGGAGCCCCTGGAGCCAGAGGAGTCATGGCCACTTCAGAGAGGCTACAGAGAGAGGGACAAAGCAGGGAGAGCATGCGGCTCAGAGGCTGGGCAGTCTTCTGCATCCCTGCTGACATTTCCTAGTGCTCATGGAGCTGGGGTTTACTAGTTTAGTCATCAGGATCCTCTCATCAATGATTTCTCTCTTTCTCCCTTTGCCACTCCTGCTCTCTCTTTTGCTTTGTGTTCTAGACCACTTCTGTAGAAGTATATTTTTGAACTTGCCAATCTTTCATCACTGTGTGTGCATTTGCCATGTCTCCCGGTGTACCAACTAGGAGCACCAACTAGACTGTAAGCAGCTCAAGGACAGGGACATGTCTCCTTTTGGATCTCTCACAGTGCCAAGATGTCCCATTCCTAGAAACGGGACAGAAGCCTTGTCTCTGGCCAGGGGCTCACAGTCCAGTGGGAGTCTCTTTGTATACACATGGGAGAGATTCGGAGAGCAGCGAACACATGGGTCCAGACTGGCTAGTATTGGTACCTATGGAGAGAATGGTGACGTGTTGCCATCAGCCAGGGAAGACAAAACCCGAGATGAGGGAGCAGGGTGTGACTTGCCTCTGTTTCCAGGGTGAGGTGCAGGAGCCCAGTACCCACTTCAGGAGTGTACAACACAGTTCTTTACGTTGTTCCTGTTAGCGAGATGGGTTGGATGAAGTAGGAGTTCTTGTAAAAAGAATTCTATAAGAAATCCCTGAGGTTCAGAATTGATAGCAGCCCTATCGTTATTCCCCAGTCACAGTAAAAAAAACACAATTTAAATAGTTTTTTTGACCTTTTTTTTTTTTTTGAGATGGAGTTTCACTCTTGTGGCCCAAGCTGGAGTGCAATGGCACAATCTCAGCTCACTGCAACCTCCATCTCCCAGACTCAAGCGATTCTCCTGTCTCAGCCTTCCGAGTAGCTGGGATTATAGGAGCCTGCCACCACACCCAGCTAATTTTTTTTGTATTTTTAGTAGAAACAGGGTTTCACTATGTTGGCCAGGCTCTCTCAAATTCCTGACCACAAACGATTTGCCCACCTCAGCCTCCAAAAGTCCTGGGATTACACTGGGTGGCAAGTGAGCCACCACGCCCGGCTGTTTTTTTGATCTTATTAGATATAAATCGTCAGGTGCCTCAAGTTAGAGAGAAGCTATCTGTAAAACTATTTGAGAGGCTTATTTTCCACAGTGGGATATTTTCTTCGTTGTCTACTCCCTATGACTTTAGCAGGGAGATTTCTGAGGCAGTGACCCCCTAAGCAGGACCGAGGTTGGTTGCGTGGGCAGCTAACTGGTTATATAACCCCCCAGCTCTGGATAACTGGCCCTCCACTACCAACAGATCAAAGACCTGCAGACCAAGCTGCGGGAGCTGCAGCTGCAATACCAGGCTAGCATGGATGAGCAGGGGCGGCTTCTGGCAGTGCAGGAGCAGCTGGAGGGGCAGCTGCAGTGCTGCCAGGAGGAGCTCCGCCAGCTCAGGGAGAAGAGACCCTCCACTTTCAAAGCCCAGGGGAAGAATGCTAATAAGAACATGAACAAGAATGCCAATGGGGTTAAAACTAAAAAGGTGACCAAGCTGTGCTCAGATACTTCCAAGAGTGACTTTGAGACCAGAAAGGTGAGTAGTAGCCTTAGTAGCTAGATAAGCAGAAAGGAGGAGGAGATCCTGGGAAGAAGCATCATCTCCTCTGCCCTTTCAACCAGGCAAGGGATTTGTAGAGAAGCTTCTGGGATCTCTGAAGTGTCTACAGTGGTTCCCATCTTAATGGAAAGTGGGTGCTCCATTTTCCTGTGAAGCGATTGGGCGGGTGGAACACAGACAACTCACATTGGGAGGTTCAGCCCCAAAGGACCACAGCCCCTAGGCTGGACAGCTATTTCATTTCACCCAGCCCCATTTGCTGGGGCCCCTGTTCTTCCTGGGTTGCATGCCCAAGAGAAGTACCAAACAGATGAAGAGGGAAGCATTTGTTAAAAATAGTTGTGTACTAATAAGTAAAAGAGGATTGGGTAAAAGAAGAGTCACCATAAGGGTAGGAAAAGACAATTTAGGTGCAGAGCCCAAGACTCATTAGTTCTGGCAGCTGTCTGACATGGCTTAATGGCCAGACATAGTGTCCTGAGAGGTGAGGTATGATCTCTATATATGCTCAGGAGGATTGGCTCGCAGTCCCAGACCACCGGGCCACACCCTTGCACTGTGACATGCTGGAAGTCATGTTTCCTTGAGCTAGTACAGCTTTGTCATGAGGTTAGGAGCTTCACAGGTAATGCAGCCCCCATCCTGCCCTACCTCCCACCCACAGAGTCTGGAGGTGGTGCTGTACTACAAGGCCAGCCAGATGAAATTAGATGGACTAGCAAAAGAGGAGGAAAAGAGAGAGGAGATGGAGGAGGAAAAAGAGAAGGAGGTGAAAGAGGAAACAAAGGAGCCATGTGGGGATGAGCTAGCAGCTGAGCCAGAAGATCCTGGGGAAGCTAAATCCACAGAAGATCAGGAGGAAAATAAAGAGGACAATGAAGACGAGGAAGATGACATCAACTCTTCCCTTGAAAGTCCCAAAGAAAACAATCCCCTCAGACTTTCTGAGAGCAAAAAGGTAACCAGAGCCAAAGGCTAGATCAAGTGGGAAGTGGGCGCTTAGACTCCGGTGCCTCAGAGTTCATGGGTGGCCCTGCCAAGGATGTATGACTCCAGGAGTAGAGGCCTTGCGCTCTAAGGCTTAGGCCTTCGGGGAGGTGGAGATGCAGAAGCGGGAGGCGAGAGCAGTCTGTCTGCAGGAAGTCAGGGGCTCAGCCCCATTTGCTGTGGAACCACCTCCCAGTGACCACCTTTTCTGGGAACCAGCGTGGGGTCTCTGGAGTCCTTTCATTTGCATAGTAGCCTTTGTTGCCTTCCTTATGTCAGGACTCTGCCCTCATCCGTCTCTTTGGCACTGCAGGAAGGACGTTGACAGTGTAAAGTCTACTTCAGGCCATTTCTGTCGGCCTGGGCACATCACTCAGTTTTTCTATGGTGCCCTGTTAGCATTAACCTTTGTTGTTGCTGTTACGGGTGTGTCAGGGGATAATCTCTTCTTTGTTTGTGTCACCCCCTGGATTCTGTATATCACAGGATGTGAAAGTGGGGCCTGAGAGTGATAGTGAAAATGTTTCACATCTGTGCAGTAGGGGCATAGACTAGTCCAAGGAGACCATCCCTTCAGTTGCTGGATTGTTGAGAGGCTGGGGTGGAGGTATCCTGGGATATATTTGCCAGGATGCTAGGGGTAACTTATCAGTAGTATAGACACACTTCCATATTTTAGTAACTGGTATGTTTCCGCAGGTATGTAGCAACTGAATTCTTGCCCTGGGCTTAACTGGGGCCTCAGAGCCCCTAAAGAGTTAGAGTATTTCCTGTGTAAGTCCTCAGCTTACATTACAGGTTCTTTCTGTCCTAAGCAGAGGTAAAGAAAAAAGCCTCTTGTGGTGGGATTATCCAGTCAACTCTAAGGATATCTGGAATTTCCAGCAATTCGGTCTTCAGCACTCACTAAGAATCCAGTGTGTAGTGCTCTGTTGACCTTGTGCCAGGGACCGTTACCTAAGATGTGAAAAGTCAGAGGCACTGCAACCCCTCCCATTATTATGTTTCCTTCAACTCATCATGTTCTACCAGCGCTGGTTCAGGGCCTCACAGATGTCTTTACCTTGGGTGCCACATTTCTAAAGCTAGACCTGATTTTTCTACTTCAAATACATTCTATGTTTCTTCATATGGAGAGATTCCTTTGCCCCCTGATCCTGCATCTTTTGCAGGCAGCTCTAGGGCATGTGTGTTACCACTTTGCAAATCCAGTTTCTGTCTGGAAGATGGTTGCAGTGAAAGAACTAGCCCTTCTCCCTTGTCAGTTTGTTTCAGTGCATTTTGTCTTACAATGATATCATTAGATTGCTAGGGGATCCAAGGGACCAGAGCCCGAAATACTAAGAAACTTATGGAAAGCAGGCTAGAACAAAGGGACAGGTGGCCTGGTAGAAGACTGGCTCTTCCTAGGGCCACCTAGGAAAAGCATCTGCCCTACTCCTCTAAGGAAGCTGTTTACTCTCTGCAGCGTCACAAGAAGGGTCTAGGTGCAGATACCTCGTGCCTAACAAGATATGAGAGGTCTATGACAAGACAGAAAGAAAACTGGACTCACCGCCTGACTTGGACCTGGCTGCTGCTTAACCCATTCAATTTTGCAATTCCTGCAGACTGCTGGCGGAAAGAACCAAGGCCCAGGCAGCAGAAAAGACATGCAACTGCTCTAGCTTACCTGTTTTTTAACCTCTTGATTCCTTTCTCTTTTCCCTTTGTTTTCTCATCTTCATTATCTGTTGGATCCATGTGTTTATGTCTCACATCTCCTGGTCTCTCCTCGTGCTTCTTTCTCATTTTGGTTTGTTGCAGTCATCCCCTACCCCCGATCCCCCCATCTTCTCCTTGCCTCTTGTAGGCCTGGTGGTCATCTCGGCTTTGCTCTGGTGCTGGTGGGCTGAGACGTCGTCCTAATGCAGGTACTGGTATTGCTTCCTCTCCTTCTGAGGGATAGAGGGAGGGTGCAGGTTGCCCTGGCCTCTCCTCTTTCCCTTTTCTCCCAGCTGCTCGCTTCTTGCTTGTGCCATTTTACAATAGGTGATGCTCAAGTCTGAGTTTTAGTTCTGACTTTTCCTTGGGCTACTGCAAAGCCTGTGACATCTTGGCGCATGTCTTCATAATGCATAGGAGGTTGGAATGCTTGCCAGAGACATGGTTTGAGTTTCAGTCCTTGGCTGGGAAAACCTTGGATAAGCCCAGCATGGTTGCTACTGTCAAAGCTGCCTCACTACTTCTTTTTCCCCCTCATCTCTGTGTGATGGCAAGCCTGACCACTTCTGATGGGCTGACATTTGTCTGCCAGGCTGGCCTGGGCCCTCTTTGTCTTTGTTTAACCTCAGAGCCAAGTTCTCACAACTGTTGCTACCCAGGATGGCAAAATACGGAATCCCTCTTCTGTTGGGAGAGAGAAGAGGTCCGAAGAGCTGTGATCCTCATGATCCTCCCAGGGGCGTTGGTAGGAGGGCAACCTAAGTTGGTCTTTCAACCTTGGCGAAATAGAACTGAACACCTACTGTATTACTCTGCACCTTCTACTGAATGGTTTTCTGCTTCTGGACTTCCAGTCTCCAGAAAAGTCAGAACAGAATGCCGGGAAATATTTTATAGTTCTCTGTTTATTTCTTTTGTGGGCCAGATTCCATGGTAATTGTCTTCCCAAGCTAGGTTTTCTGGAGAGAATGTGGTATTAGTGAAAAGTTTCTACTAGCCAGAGATGTGTGTTCTGAGGAAGTCAAGACTGATATATTCTAGCCACTTTCCAGTTGGCCCTCACACATGTAATATAGACTGTCAACAGGACACCAAATTCAGGAGGCAGAATGTGCTCCTACGGCCTAAGGTAGAACTGGGGTTCCACTTGCCTTCTGGAACCCATAAGGTATTCTCTGTAGTCCTGCGTTGGCTCCTCTTTCATGCTCTCCCTGCCACCCCCTCCACTCCCCTCTCTTCTCACATTCCTGTGAATGGAGGATAGCAGGCTTGATGCAGCAGGGTGGCAGCTGGAGCATTTGTTGGTGGCACTTCTCTCCATTTCTTTTTCTGTGCTTCCTCCTGCTCCCTCCCCAGATTTTCTGTTACTCATCTTCAAGCCTCCGCCTTTCTTCTTGACTTTAGGTATTCCCTTTACTCCCTGGTCCATAACTGCTTTAGTGACGGGGTCCCTCTCTATGACTGTTCCTCCCCTGTGCACCCCCAGAAGTCTTAAGTCCCTACAGGCAAGACCCAAAGCATTCAGCCACAGCCTTCCACCATGTCAGACTAAGCCCTGCCCAATCAGAGGGAGAGGAAGAACTGCGGGTGAAGGGTTCTCCTGGTGGGGCCTGTTATCCCCAGAGCTCCAGGGGCCTCAACATGCATCTGTGCAGCCAAGACCTGAGGGAGCACCGTGTGGTAGCAAGCGTGGCTGCCAGGTGGTCAGAAGAACTTGGTCCAGTCTGTACCTACTGACAGGCATTGTCCCAGGGAGCAAAATGCACTCTCTGAACTCTAGTTTCTTCAAATGTAAGCAAAGGATGATCAAACCTCTACCCGCCTCACAGGTTTTTGTCAGGACCAGATGAGTTAAAGTCGATGAAAGTATTCTATAAATTATAAAATACCACATCAATAATTAAAAGAGCACGCACTTCCAAAATGCACTTTACGTGTCAGGCACTGTTCTAATCACTTTACATGTATTAACTGATTTAATCCTTGCAACTACCCTGTGAAGAAGCTATTCCTATTATTCTTTTATAATGATTAAACTAAGGCATAGAGAGGTTAAGTAAAACAGCCAGGGAGCTGCAAATCAGATTATAAGGACTCAATATTAGCCACAGATAAGACTCCAGTCTTGCTTCCCCTTATCGTCCCTCCTCGTTTTGAGCAGTTTTCCTTCATTGGTCCCAAGTAGGAAGACACCATTCTTCTGTTTAGGCAACCCCAGTTCACATTAGCTCTTTGGGTAACTAATGTATTACTAACTTATTTCATGCATTGTTTATAAGCCCCTCTGCAGATTGTGATGCTGAGCATCCTCTCCCCATTCTGTACCTGCATTTGATTTTGAGGCTTCAAAGGCAGAATTTTCTATTCTTCACCATTATAGTTTATTGTTCTTACCTTATGAGGTTTCAGGTGTGTGTTTTTCATCTTGACCCTGTGGTTTTAAAATATTCATTGTCTCTGCCACCTTCACATCATCTACAGGGGTGGCAAGCCCGCCTTCCCTGTCTTCATCTAGTAACAAGTGAGGACAGAGCCTCTGGAGTGTTGTCTCTCAGGGTTCTTTTATTCAGTTCACTGGTCACCTACCTGTCATACCACAAACTGTGCTGTCATCCTACCCTTATTTCTGCATATTATCTGCAAAGATATCACAGAAAATCCTATCAGACAACTCACATCCAAAAACATGATTCTAGTGATTTGTCACTTTGGTCACCTAGTTTAAAAGGAAAGTTTGACACAACTTACCCCTTTGGGACACCCACACCAGCCCTTTCCCCGTCCCGTATAGAAGCTTGCCTTTGCCCAGTGTGAAGTGCACCCATCACATTTAAGGATTTCAGCTCTCCACTCCTTTCAGAACAGACTAACATTCTTAGCAATGCACATTAGGATAGAAACATCTGAGCTTGTAAATATTTTTTTCTAGCTAGCTCCCTTCTTAGTTTTTGTTTTTGGCTTTAGAGACAGGGTCTCGCTCTGTCACCCAGGCTGGAATGCAGTGGCATGAACATGGCTCCCTGTAACTTTGAACTCCTGGTCTCAAGCGATACTCCTGCCTCAGCCTCTGGACCTCTTGGTTTTCTTACATGAATTACTCTGTATATCCACCTCTAACATTGTTTGGCTTTCCATTTCATATCTTCTATTGTTCTTAGTAGCTATTTCTACAGGCTCAGATTTTCTTTGTTCTTTATAGCAGGCTTAAAATCCTCTTATTTTAAGATCAATTACCATCTGAGCACATGTGTTCTTAGCATTAATGGGCTATAAACCATTTTTCCTCATAACCATCCTTCTGTGACCTTATGCCATAGCTTATGACTCAAAATCCAAATTCTACCTTTCAGGTAGTACAGTAAAAAAAGTTATAAAAGTAAAACCTATTTCCCCAAGTATGTATTTTCTTTTCTAAGATTTTCATATTCCCTAATGGATGCCATTTGGATATTTTCTGATGGTGTCACTTGTCCCATGAATCAGCAGGGTTCACTAGTGGCCAGCAGTGTCTGGAAGCCTTAGCACACTCTAGCACATGCACCAGGAAGTCAGTCAACATACCTGGTGACTGGGAGGGTTTTAATGACCCAGGCCCAGTGACAGGTTTCCTTAGATTTCCTTGAACCAACGTCTTTCTCTGTCAAAGTCTGTCTGCCTAAGAGCCTCTTACTGACCTGCACTCCGTGGCTCACGTTCTTCATTTCTCCCTCCGTCTTATCCCCACTTCCCCATCCTCTTGACTCTGAGTTCACTTCACTACAGTGAAGTTGATGAGGTACTGCTGCTTTTCCCAAAGGCCCAGATTTACCCTCCTCTGTCTTGCCATGGCATCTGGTCCTTTCTCATTGCAATCACTGGGAAGTCTGGCCCCTGGGCCTGCTTCTTCTCCTGGGAGCTAGTATTCTCAGCCCATGGGGATTAACGGAAGCCTGGATACAGGCGGCCACCTAAGGTGGTGCGTACAGTGTTGGGCCACATGTCTAGTGGTGCCAGGACTGAGAGAGCACCTGTCTCCACCGGTACCCAGGAGGTAAGAGAGACTAATCCATGAAGTTCCTGAGGTGTCTCGGGCACCCATAGGCAGGTGATTTCTGGCTTAGGGCAGGGTTCAGGAGGCTGGGCACTCACAGTTTCTCTTTGGTCCCCACAGAACATGTTTGGGTTGTGGAAGCCTATGGTATTCTTGGCTATTGCAGCTGTGGCTCTGTATGTGTTACCCAACATGCGACAGCAGGAGTCAGAGTTCTGCCTCATGGAGTGATGGCAGTCCTTGGCCAGCGCAAGGGCAGATCCCCAGTGGCCACCACCCTCTGCTTTGGGCAGGACACACTGTGCCAGAACCCTCCCCCTATGTTCCATGTGTCCCCATCTCCTCAGCCTCAGTCACCCAGGCTGGAAAGTCTCGTGGGGAGCGCTGATTTCCATCTCTTGCCTTGTATAAGAACCTGAGTTCCTTGTAATTAAATATCAACTGAATTACACAAGACTGTGGCTTTTTATTTGCTAAATGCCTCACAATACAACCAGAATGGAGCAGTTCCCCTTTAACCAAGTACCTCACAGAAGGGTCTGACTCCTAAATATGGCTTCTCACTTTGCAGATGACTACAGAAATGAGGCTAGCCCCTTGTGCTGTCAGCTGACTCACAGAGGGTTGGTCTATGCTTCTTAACCCCATCCTGAGGTACTTGCCTGAGCATGGAGAAATGGAATGAACAGGGGCTGGGGAGGACCTCCCCTTAGATTCTGTGCCCACACCTATCTACATGAGAAGGCTGCCCTAAGAACATCCACATGTGTGCCTTCCTGGCTTAGCCTTTGTAACTTCTCAAGGGATTCACCCTCAGAGATGACTTTAATCATCAGGGTCCTGGCAGTAGACAGGTGGCACACTCAAAGCTTTACATGAAGAGAGTTTAATGAAGGGACTATGTACAAAAGGCAGAGTTAGGAGAAGCAACAAGAAGTAGTGAAGTAGCAGGCACTAGCAACAGTGTAAAGCTGTTAGCATCCCGGGCTGAAGCAGGAAGGAAAGGAAGCAAGAGCTGGAGCTCTAAAAATGGGCCCCAGGCGGGTGTGGCAGCCACAAGGGGTGCAGCCCCCGCCAAAGCCATGATTAAGTGGATTTTTATGTATTCCCCTACCTTTTCCCACCTGCCCACCTTCTACTGGTACCTCTCATCAGCTGACCCCAATGGGAAGACAAAGAGCAGAGGTGCTCAGGTAACATCATCTTTCAAGCTCAGCCTCCTAGAGCTCAGAGCAGGACAGAGGCCTGAGGATGGATCTAACTGGGCCAAGTAGAATGATGAGGATAGTTTATGTGTGTCCCTGTTTACCTTCATTCCTGTGGAAACTTTGTGATTGGATGTTCTCATCATGAATCTTTCCATATGAAGGAAGACCCCAAGTATATTCTTTTTTCTTTCTTGTTTTTTCTTTTTTCTCTCTTTTTTTTTGTTGAGACAGAATCTCACTCTGTCACCCAGGTTAGAGTGCAGTGGCACCATCTCGGCTTACTGCAACCTCCACCTCCTGAGCTCAAGTGCCTCCCACCTCAGCCTCCCAAGTAGCTGGGACCACAAGTATGCACCACCATGCCCAGCTAATTTTTGTATTTATTGTAAAGAGAGGTTTTCACCACTTTGCCTAGGCTGATCTCCAACTCCTTGGCTCAAGCAATCCTCCTGTCCTGGCCTGCCAAAGTGCTGAGATTACAAGTGTGAGGCACAACATTCAGCCCCAAGCATATTCTTAAACCAGAGTGGAAAGCATGACCTCCATGACTACTGGCCTCTTTCTTCCTCCCCCTCACCTGAAAGGACTTTGTTCCATTCAACCAAACATCCAAAGAAACACATGTACAGAGCGTGTACGTGGTACCACTGCCAAGCTAAATGAAGTCATTCCTTCTCTAGCTCTTACCTAGGGGGAGTAGCAAAGACATTTAAAATTAGGAGATTTTCACGTATTCAACCCAGAGAAGTGACATGGCTGAATTGAGAGTCCATTTTCACAGACATGGGGCCAGTGCTGAAATTTTGACTAGCCTCCTAGAAACGTGATTGCAATTAGGCAAATTGAGGACAGTGCCACATGCCTCTTGCCTTCGTCTAAGGCAGTAGTCCCAAACTTTTTCGCACCAGGGACCAGTTTCATGGAAGACAATTTTTCCACGGATGGAGCGGGGTATGGGGATGGTTTCAGGGTGAAACTGTCCCACCTCAGAGCATTAGGTATTAGCCAGATTCTTATAAGGAGCATGCAACCTAGATCCCTTGCAGTATCGGTCCATGCCCTGGGGGTTGCGGACCCCTGCTCTAAATGACTCCTCTTTGCAGACAGTTCTGACCCAGGCTGGTCTAGCTCCTTGCTACTCCATGTGGCCAGTGGATCAGCAGCATCGGCATCACCTGGAAGCTTATTAGAAAACCAGATCTCAGGCCCCAACATAGACCTACTGATGCAGAATCTGCATTTCTAATGAGATGCCCAGTTGATTCGTATGCACAGTAAGATTTGAGAAGCACTGACCTAGTCAATTACATTAGATTGTATGTTCTCACTTGTAACCTATAGAAATTATTTTACAACTGACCTGGTGCAGCTGGCCACTTGCTTTGGAGCGTAGTGAAACTGCTATTTACCCACTTTCCTGCCGCCACCAGTTGATTAAAGAACATGGGTAGTGGAAAGGACTAGAAGATGACTTATAGCCAAATGCTATGGTCCACATGTTTGTGTCTATCCCCTACCCTGCAAATCCATATGTTGAAATTCTAACCCCCTCAGGAGGGGGGCTTTGGGAAGTGATTAGGTAATGAGAGCAGAGCCCTCAGGAGTGGGATCAGTGTCCTTATTAAAAACACTTCAGAGAGATCCCTCACCCCTTCTGCCATGTGAGGTTACAGTAAGACAAAGCCACCTGTGAGGAAATAGGCCCTTGCCAGACATGGAATCTGCAGGCATCTTGATCTTGGACATCCCAGCTTTCAGAATTGTGAGAAATAAATTCCTGTTGTTTATAACCCACCTGGTCTCTAGTATTTTGTTAATGCAGCCCAAATGGACTAAGACACCAAAGATCACTGATTTAACCTGGAATTACAAGCCAGGGCAGAGGTCAGGTTCTAGTAGGGTGGTCCCTAGGTAGGGGACCTGAACCTAGAGCCCGCCTAATGACAGGAATGTGGGCCTGCTTTTCCCACCATTTTGCTAAGAATATAAAACCTGTCCCTTTAGGGCATGTCCTTCTCTGTTCATTCTTTTTATTTATTTATTTAGACAGGGTCTGGCTCTGCTGCCAGTCTGGAGTATGGTGGTGCAATCTCAGCTCACTGCAACCTCCACCTTCCAGGCTCAAGCCATCCCCCTATCTCAGCTTCCAGAGTAGCTGGGTCTGCAGGTGCTCACGCCCAGCTAATTTTTGTATTTTTTGTAGAGATGGGGTTTTGTGGCCAGGCGTGGTGGCTCACACCTGTAATCCCAGCACTTTGGGAGGCCAAGGCGGGTGGATCATGAGGTCAGGAGATTGAGACCATCCTGACCAACATGGTGAAACCCCATCTCTACTAAAATACAAAAAAAAAAAAAAAAAAAATACCAGGTAAGGTGGCACATACCTGTAGTCCCAGCTACTTGGGAGGGGAGGCAGGGGAATTGCTTGAACCCGGGAGGCAGAGACTGCAGTCAGCCGAGATCATACCACTGCACTCCAGCCTGGGCAACAGGGTGAGACTCCGTCTAAAAAAAAAAAAAAAAAAAATCCTATTCCATCACAGGAAAAAAAAAAAAAAGAGAGGAGATGGGGTCTTGCCATGTTGCCCAGGGTGGTCTCAAACTCCTCAGGTGATCCGCCTGCCTCAGCCTCCCTAAGTGCTGAGATTATAGGCGTGAGCCATTGTGCCCCGCCCTCTGTTCATTTTAGAATCCCATTCTCTTCATTTGGTTTGAGCTTTCTGTCTCCTTGTCTTAATGATACACTGTTACTCAGGTATATTAAAGCGGAGTCTTTTTTGTTGAGCTAGCTTAAAAAAGGCAGTAGGATGTTCTCACTTATAAGTGGAGTTATATAATGTGTACACAGGGACACAGCATGTGAACTGACAGACATGGAGACTTGGAAGCGGGGGGCCGGGGACAAGAAATTACTTAATGGGTACAGCCCACACTATTTAGGTGAGGTTACATTAGAAGCCCAGACTTCACACTCAGCAATATATCCATGTATCAAAACTGCACTTGTACCCGCTACATTTAAACCGGAAAAAAAAAACACAGGAGGAATTGATCTCAAATCTGGAGGGGTATCCCTTGGAAGCCACAGGCAGGTATGCACCTGGGCCTAGGTGCGCTAGAACAAGGGACTCAAAGCACCTGTAGGAGCCTCGGTCTCTCCCTAATGCTGCCCTCTGCATAACTGCCTCCTTTCTGCAAGCTCCCTGCAGCCCGGCCCTCTCTGGTTTCCCTTCCCAGGCCAAGAGGTAGAGCAGCCACCCGCTGCCACTCCTGTCAAGGACCAGCTGCTATTGGGGCAGGGTGGGTGGTTCTAAAGATGACAGGTACTGCCAGTTCTGATTGCAGCAGATGGAGTGTTGGGTCGCAGTGAAGGGGCGAGGGGAACAGCCTGGAGTTCCAGGCAGTGGTCCCCATGGGGGTGTGGGCACAGAGCTGCAGGGGAAGCGCTCACTCGCCAGAACTCCTTGGTCTCTAAGATTATCAGAGGAAGCTAACTAACTTTTTTGGATCACCTATTAGATGCCAGGCACCATGCTAGTCATCCTTCTGGTGATTTCATTCTCACGCATTAAAATAAAAAAAAAAAAAAAAAACAGATGAGAAAACAGGCCCAAAAGAGTTACATTACTTGCCCAAGGTTACAGAACTAGAAGTGGAGAGGCTGGAATTCATTCCACTCTACCACACTGTCCCTGGCACCTGCATCAGAGCCACAGTCTGTATCGGTATCACTGAAAGTGTCTTCTGTGAGCCTGGCCAGCCCAGTATCATCACAGGTGACTATGGAAATGTCCCTGGTTCCAGAAAAACAGGATTTTCAAACATGGTTCATTGTACCCGCTCACTTGGATTTAGCTCAGCCCAAGTTAAATATGGCCAATAATGAGGGCTGATGAGCAGAGCCCCTTGATGGCAGAGGCAGGACCAGGTGAAGAGCCAGGCAACCTGGTCTCCTGAGATAGGTCAGCCGGTGGTGCGTCAGGGGGCTATAAACGGCCTGTGGTCCCAGCCAGCACTGCCCAGATACTCAGCTGATGAAACCCCTTGTAA